GGGAAGTTGGGGGAAGAGGGGGGGAATCGGTCAGGGAAGGAGGGAAATGGAACGAGGGGGAAAGGAAAATCCCACAGGGAGGGTCGGAAACCCCCAAAAAGGGTCAGAAACCCCCAAAAAGGGTCAGAAACCCCAAAAAAGGGTCAGAAACCCCAAAAAAGGAATAGAAACCCCAAAAAAGGGTCAGAAAACCCAAAAAGGGTCAGAAAACCCAAAAAGGGTCAGAAACCCCAAAAAAGGAATAGAAACCCCAAAAAAGGAACAGAAACCCCCAAAAAGGGTCAGAAACCCCCAAAAAGGGTCAGAAACCCCAAAAAAGGAACAGAAACCCAAAAAAAGGGTCAGAAACCTCAAAGAAGGAATGAAAACCCCAAAGAAGGGATAAAAACCTCGAGGAGAGAATCAAAACCCAGAAGGAGAGGATGAAAACCCCAAGGGAAGATGGAAACCCTCCAGGAAGGACGGGAACCCCCACCCAGAAAGTTCGGGAACCCCTCAGGAAGGTGGGGAACGCCTCAGGAAGGTCAGGAATCCCCCCAGGAAGTCGAGAACCCCCCATAAAGGTCGGGAACCCCCCCAGGAAGGTGGGGACCCCCCAGGAACTGGGGACCCCCCAGGAAGGTGGGGACCCCCCCAGGAAGGTGGGGACCCCCCCGGAAGTGGGGACCCCCCAGGAAGTGGGGACCCCCCCCAGGAAGGTGGGGACCCCCCATGAAGGTGGGGACCCCCAGGAAGGTGGGGACCCCCCATGAAGGTCAGGAACCCCCCCATGAAGGTGGGGACCCCCCAGGAAGGTGGGGACCCCCCCCATGAAGGTGGGGACCCCCATGAAGGTGGGGACCCCCCAGGAAATGGGGACCCCCCGGAAGGTGGGGACCCCCCAGGAAGTGGGGACCCCCCCGGAAGGTCAGAAACCCCCCCAGGAAGGTGAGGAACCCCCCCAGGAAGTGGGGACCCCCCATGAAGGTGGGGACCCCCCCGGAAGTGGGGACCCCCGGAAGGTGGGGACCCCCCAGGAAGGTCAGGGACCCCCCCAGGAAGGTGGGGACCCCCAGGAAATGGGGATCCCCGGAAGTGGGGACCCCCCAGGAAGGTGGGGACCCCCAGGAAGTGGGGACCCCCCAGGAAGGTGGGGACCCCCCATGAAGGTGGAGACCCCCCATGAAGGTCAGGAACCCCCCCAGGAAATGGGGACCCCCCAGGAAGTGGGGACCCCACAGGAAATGGGGACCCCCCATGAAGGTGGGGACCCCCCAGGAAGGTCAGGAACCCCCCATGAAGGTGGGGACCCCCCCGGAAGTGGGGACCCCCCCAGGAAGGTGGAGACCCCCCATGAAGGTGGGGACCCCCCAGGAAATGGGGACCCCCAGGAAGGTGGGGACCCCCCAGGAAAGGTGAGGAACCCCCAGGAAGGTGGGGACCCCCAGAAAGGTGAGGAACCCCCCCAGGAAGGTGGGGACCCCCAGGAACTGGGGACCCCCAGGAAGTGGGGACCCCCCGGAAGGTGAGGAACCCCCCCAGGAACTGGGGACCCCCAGGAAGAGGGGACCCCCCAGGAAATGGGGACCCCCGGAAGGTGGGGACCCCCAGGAAATGGGGACCCCCCAGGAAGTGGGGACCCCCCCGGAAGGTGGGGACCCCCCAGAAAGGTGGGGACCCCCCGAAGGTGGGCAGCTGCCGTGGCCGTGCCGGCCTCACCTGCTCGCTGTCGGTGAAGGTGTAGAGGATGGAGCCGAACACGGCCGGGTACACCATGGCCGAGGTGTAGAAACCCAGCCAGGCGAAGTACATGGCGATCTTCACCCCAAAATAGTCACAGATCTCATCTGGGGGGGCACGGGGGGCGTCAGCGGGGCCGGGACCCCCCAGAAACCCCAATGGGGTCACCCCAAACACACTGGGATCCCAGAAACCCCAATGGGGTCACCCCAAACCCTCTGGGACCCCAAAAACCCCAATGGGGTCACCACAAACACTCTGGGATCCCAAAAAACCCCAATGGGGTCACCCCAAACACTCTGGGATCCCAAAAACCCCAATGGGGTCACCAAAAACCCTGTGGGACCCCAAAAACCCCGCCGGGGTCACCACAAACCCTCTGGGATCCCAAAAAAAACACTGGGGTCACCCCAAACCTTCTGAGATCCCCAAAAACCCCACTGGGGTCACCCCAAACCCTCTGGGATCCCCAAAAACCCCAATGGGGTCACCCCAAACACTCTGGGACCCCAAAAAACCTGCCGGGGTCACCCCAAACACACTGGGATCCCAGAAACCCCAATGGGGTCACCCCAAACATTCTGGGACCCCAAAAATCCCACTGGGGTCACCCCAAACCTTTTGGGATCCCCAAAAACCCCACTGCGGTGACCCCAAAGCCTTCGGGAGCCCAAAAAAAATCCCACTGTGGTGATCCCAAAGCCTCTGTGACCCCAAAAATTCCTGCTGGGGTCACCCCAAAGGCTCTGTGACCCCAAAAGTCCCCGGGGTGACCCCAAAGCCTCTGTGACCCCAAAAATTCCTGCTGGGGTCACCCCAAAGGCTCTGTGACCCCGGGGTGACCCCAAAGGCTCTGTGACCCCGAAATGACCCCAAATCTCACCCAGGCTCTGTGACCCCAATGACCCCGGGGTGACCCCGAATCTCACCCAGGGGCTGTGACCCCAATGACCCCAGGGTGACCCCAAAGGCTCTGTGACCCCAGTGACCCCGGGGTGACCCCGAATCTCACCCAGGGGCTGCGCCTCGCACACCGCCTGCACCCAGGACTTCATCAGGCGCTTGAGGATCCTCTGCTCGTGCAGCGGGAAGAGCTGCTGGATCACACCCCGTGCTGCCAGCTCCGGGACTGCGGGACAGGGACACGGGGACATCGGGGACATCGGGGACATGGGGACATCAGGGACATCGGGGACATCGGGGACATCGGGGACATGGGGACATCAGGGACATCGGGGACATCGGGGACATTGGGGACATGGGGACATCGGGGGGACATCGGGGACATCGGGGACATCGGGGACATGGGGACATCGGGGACA